GATTTCATCCTGGACACTACAGAAAATGGGCTAAAAGTGTTAAAAACCGAACTTCTCCTTTAACATGAATTCAACACACTGTAGTAAACAGATAAATGGAGGCAGAAGATGTCTTTCAGTCATCAATACACACATTTAGCGACACACAGGATCTCCTTCAAGCTGGGCACCGTTTCATTCACAACACCTGTCCCATCAACCAGGAATCAGAATCAGAAATACCTAAATAATCGCAGGGCGAAATTACTTTCATTACATTACTCCTTATATAATAGACCCTACTGTCTGAATGGAAGAGTTCAAGTGGAGAATCCAGTCAGCGTTTTCTAATCTGTTTCTTCTAAAACTCCAATATCTGTGAACTCTTACCTCCTAAAACACAAACAGTAACACTGTAACGGTGTTGTTCCAACTCCGTCTCAGTGTTAACTGTTCACAAACTTTAGAAAGTGGTATTTTAACTTAATATACTGTTGACCAACACTGAATCTTTATTAGCGTTAAATATCGTTCTCTATGCTTTACATATTTGTTGTGCCTTAGCTTCATGGTATGATGCATTGTGAAAATATGTTGCAGTGCAGGATGGGGTTTTGAATCTAAAGGCTAACGTTTCCCGTCTTACGTGCATTGTTGCCAGGTTGGGATGTTTCCCAATGTGATAGTTTAAAATGGCCGTCTATTTATGGGACGCCAAAAGTTTAAAGCCCCACTGCTCTGGACCGGTTGTAGCTAGAGGTCTGAAATTTTCTGCATTTGTGGTCGAGATGATGTAGAAGAAATGTAATACAATCAGACATTCCTATTCTCAACTCTTTATAAATGCTGTAAAAAAAAAAAAACGTATTTTCAAGAAAGAAAAAAAGCACCTTTCAGTCATGTTTGAACTGATGCAGTTCACTATTTTCATTTATATTTTCAGAAACTAGATGCTGTTAGCTTTCAAATGGTGTATCTAACATATAATTTGGGATTACAGTTCAATTTGGGTTTGCAAAATAGGCGAGGATTACTTGAATTAGGTGGGTTTTAAGAGGATATTTGTTTTATTTCTCCCCAAACAACCTCCTCTAAAGGGATTGGCTACTTGACAAAAATGACAATGCATCTAATTTCCTGTATTTCAAACCTGTATTTTTGTTTAAATTGCTGAAACTTTACCCTAAAAGGTGCCTTCAGCTCTTTGAAACTTTTAGCTGTGCTTGCACAATTTCCATTTTGCTACCTTGAATAATTCAAGAACACACGTAAATCTTCCACTGGCGGCTGTTTTCTTTCACAGAGAGGCCTTGAGGAGATACGAGGAGCTGGCAGAAATATTTTCAGACAAGGACAACTATGCACAGAGCAGAGAACTCCTGAAGGAGGTGAGTTGTTGTTTGAAATAAGGAGTGCATTAATGACAGCGGAAATAAATTATGCTACGTGTGCCTGGGAAGCTGAATCCTCCTAAAAACTGCTGATATAATCTCCTCTGCTTTAGTGAGACATTTGATCAGGCAGGAAGCAGCTCTCACTCAGGGTCATGGCACAGCATGTAACTAACCAGTCAATTGTGAATTGATGTGTTTATTTTAAGAAGCGCTGTTAGCAAAGTGGCAGTTTGGCGATAGAAAGTGAGATCTCGGCAGCTCTGTCTGTGAAGTCCTGAATTAGTTTCTAGAGCTATTTTTTACTGAGATCAGAGCTCCTGGCTGCTGTCTGATGTTTTCACTGCTCATCTTTTCATTTCCTCACAAGGAAACCTAAATTGCTTCTTAATTATTCTCTTCTTCTCCTTATTCATAATACATTTTGGTGTCTGTTTGGCAGTCACCGGATGGTGGGGAAATAAAATAGAAATAAATAATACTTATAAAGGATTTTAATGATTACATCAAACACTGTTTTAGGTCTTTGCTAAATGACAACATAGTTTTTGCAAATTGCAGTTGTTTGAATCGTGAATAGAAATAAAAGCTTAAAACTTTCCCAGCATTTGATACCCCTGATAATAACTTCCAGTTTGTGCACCAGCAGCAACCTCTGATTAATTGAATCCCTGTAGGGAGGTGTAAAAAGCCTATTTATAAAATATTTT